TTTACCTACCACGAAGCCATCAAAACCAATTCAAACTAGGAGAGTGGGGACTTCAAGCTATTCAGATAAAGCTACATCCTAAACCCCAAACACTAACCCAAAACCCCCAAACCCCCCCAAAAGCTCTGCTATTTGGGCACTTGGAGTCCTTCTTAGGGTTGGGGAGCCCAGTAATTAGGGATTTGGAGTTCAGTACTGTAGGTATTCCTCGCGTTAATTGTTATGCGCGGTTTAGGGTATAGAGTTTAGGGTTTAGGCTTAGGCTGGGCAATTCCAAGCGACCTCACACGACCTCACCCTAAATGGTGGTTTATATGGGGAATGGTACCAAAATGGCCTCAGATTGGGAATTGAAATCGTTCTAAATTGCCCAGCTCTTGCAGGTCTGACTGAAGCCATTTCTGTTCCGGCTGCTGTCGTGGCAATGTCGGGACATAGGTTTCATGTTGCAGGTGTGCAGAATGCCTTTCGTGTATACGCACATGTATGCACAACGTGACTGTTTCCTGTTAGTCCTAAGCTGGGAGTGGAAGAGTAGGATGTGCGGACTAATCATAGAGAAACCATGTAGGGGCTAATATGTAGGAACTTTTAGGGGGTTCCAGAGACAAAGTTTACGTCTGACCTGGTCGGCTTCCCAGTCTATACATTTTGGTCCCTGAAGCTTTGAAGCTTACCTATAATATCCTCCCAGACGACCTAACCCTAAGGGTCCATGTACCCAATCATTGGGTACTTGGGATTTGGGGTGATAGTCATTATAGTGCAGATTTTGGGTAAGTATATGATTATGAAGTACTTGGACCCTTAGGGTAAAGGGCCCCAGGATATGACCCCATCACACATTGGGGGGGAGAATTCAGAGGTTCCATCCAGGTTTGTTATACAGGTCTTGTATAGCGTGACCTCAACACGATGAATTTGGTACTTCTTCAAGCCCCGGTATGACATGACATCACAAAGCCTGCCCTAGTCCTAGATGAACATATACCTTGATGATTATTGACAAGACGGTAGATTTCGTACCCTAAGCCCTCAACCCTAAGCTCTAAACCCTCAACCCTAAACCCCAGACCCCTAAACCCTAACCCCTAAACCCCTAAACCCTAAACCCCTAAACCCCTAAACCCTAAACTTCAGAGCTCCAAGCCAGAGTCAAGCCTTAAAAGGAGAAAGCCCTTGGCGAAGTGGAAGACGATGCGTGGCTTCAACGACGGAGATGTCTGCGTGGGGAGCCCAGGGGCGCTTTGGGGCTTGTAACCAGGGTTTAGGGCGGTTTAGGGTTCATAATCAGGTTTTGGTGCTTAGGGCTTTGGGCTTAGGGTTTAGGGACTGGGATTCAGGCTCAGGGATTACGGTCTGTAGCTTATAGGATAGTTATGAGGAACTGTAACGAGGTTACAGGTTGCGTCGGGGTATTTGGCGATACGCAGGTTTGCGCCCCCAAGCCGGTTGTTAAGGCTATTCTTCTTGACAGGCCTTGGAGTACGATCCCAAGCCAGGCCCAACTGAAAGGTATAGTTCCCCTTGAGTAGATAGAATATCGGTATATTATAATATTATCCCCATATACCCCATATTCTATCTACCTAAGGAGGACCATAACTTGGCATACAGACATCATTTTGAATTTGTGTGGCAAATGACTGTCCGTGACATGTGGGTGTAGCATGCGGGGTATGGCTGTTTAGAGAGCTTGCGGTGGAGCAGGGTTCATGTGTGAGCTTACACTACAATGCACCACCTTATCTACCCCATGGCTACAGCATTTTGAGGGGTCCTAAGTGATCCAAGATCTCCATCCTACCGTCACTTTTTGTAAGTAGGTTCCCCAGCTGCTTCGTAACCCCAGGGTCCGACAAAGTATGGCTCTCTGCCAAGGCGAGGGTGCAGAAGTGCATCGTCGGGTTCGGCAATATGTACAGCGGAAGGCTGCGTATGGCACGATATGGTAACTTCCATTTTCTAATTTTTATGCCCTATGGAGCCCAAGCCTTGAATCCCATAAAGCTTGCATGCAGATTCGACCTGGAATGGAGCTTCTGGAGGTTGCTGAGATGGCTGGGTTCTCAGTAAGATACTCTTAGGGTTTAGGGTTTTAGGGTATAGTATAGGGTAAAAGGGTTCAGGGTTATAGGGTTTAGGGATTTAGGGGAGAAGGCAGTCTTTCACAATGAGACCTACATAATCCGCAGTTAAGACCCCATTCCAATCCCCATGTATCCCTTGGATCCCGACAGGCTCACTACTGTGACAAGCCTCCATAAAGCTCTAAGGGTCCAAGCATCCGTAGTCGGTGAGATTTCATTACAACCTTTGGTGAGTCTATCGGTAGCAGGTCAGTTTGCGGAGACTGCAGATAGAAGTTTGTCTTTGTATACCTCCTGCTTGGGATCCAACGTGCTACTATAAGTAATAAAGATATCTAGGGGCATAGATTTTTCCATTTGGGCATTTGGCCCCTTAGGGAAGGGCTGAGTATGCCAGAGGTTTGCTTGCTCACGACATGCCCTCCACTTGCAAATGCTTCTTTGTGATGAGGTCGAACAGGTCGGACTCCCGGGCAAGTGATGGTGACACGGCTCTGTGAAGATTCTGGGCTGTCGCAACACTTGGTGATTGTTACTCTAGCAGCGAATGACGGACTGGACAAGAACCAGCGTATATATATATTAAATAGGTATATATGTGGATATGTATTTGTGTTTATCGGTTGGTTTTATAGGGGTTACTGTAGGATTCAGTTTTTCATCTGGTCAGCAATAACTAAGCAACAACTGAAAAAAGGGGACATCCCCTGAAATGTCTTCCAAAGAGGGGCCCCAGACGAACGTCTGGGGAGTTTCCGAAAGTGATCCTTCCAGCATTTGCAGTTTCAAAGCGTAAGGTTTAGAGCCATGTCTTGTTGTCATCCCGCTAGGGGTCAAAGAATACCCTCAGTTTGGGAACGAATGAAGACCTACAAACGATACGTGCTCATGCATAACACGGGCCGTTTATATACCTGCAGACTGGATGTATGTATGTATGTATGTATGTATGTATGTATGGAAGGATGGATATACTTATACACATACATAACAATGCTGTTACAATTCGAAACAAACTACATCTGAATAGCACCCACCCTCCCCCCACCCCCCCAAAAAAAAGAAAAGAAAAAGAAGCGTACCGCTAGCTACCCTGAGAAGCATGTCTATGTGTGATCTCTCGCGCGCTCTCTCCCACATAGCAGCGGCTGCAGGTGCCTCTGAGCCATAACGCCCTCAACCTGAATGGGAGCTTTGGCGGCGGCAATATAAACCGCAATCTAGTAGAAGTGTTTAGTACAGGGACGCCCAGAAACGACCACTTTCTCTAGACACCTTGAAGATTACATCCTTCTACATATCCTTTATATTTATGTGTACATCTACAACTATAAACACATGTGTATATATATATATATGAACACCTCCGTGAATATCCCAACATACCCCTGTTTACTGTCATACATCTCTAGACATCCCTCTATATTTCCGCTCATAGCTTAGAACCTTACGTTCAGACGCTCTGACAGGACAACGCTCAAGTCTTAAGTCATAACCTGTTCCCCCTATAGTTACTGGTAGTAGTTTGTCGCAATATACCTACCTAGCCCCTAAACAGGCTCTTGACCCAGCGTCCATGGATTTTCCACTTCCTTCTCCAGGCGTTTCTCTGATATACCCTTACATAGCCCCTTGTAGGCCTATATACTCTAATATACCCTAAGCTACCTAGACCAGAATAAACCCTACAAACCCTAAGCCCGACAGACCCCAAAACCCTTAAAGCCCCGAACACCCTAAACCCTAAACACCCTTAAAACCCTAGACCCCATCTAATATAACTACCTAGCCGAAGCATCTTCCTGGCGCAGACCCTAAGGGACCAAGTACCCCAAAAGTCATATAATTACCCCAAACTTGTACTACAAGTGCTATTACCTAAAATCCCAAGTACCTGGTTATTGCGTACTTGGACCCCAAAGACCCTAAACCAACTATATCCCTATATATCCCTAAATATCCCTTTAAGGGGAACTATGTTATTGGGTACATGGACCCTTAGGGAAGCCTAAGCCCTAAATCCTAAACCCTAAGCCCTAAATCCTAAACCCTAAATCCTAAACCCTAAACCGTAAATCCCAAGTACCTAGTTATTGGGTACATGGACCCTTAAAGTGGGGGAGCAGGCCTCTAGCAGCCTCGTAGGCTTCGATCCGCGCCATCCCTTGAGGCTGCAAGTGGGCTTAGGGTTTAGGATATGGAATTTGGGGTTTAGGGTTTAATAGGATTTAGGAAATAGAATTTAGGGTTTAGGATTTAGGATATAGGGTTTGCGGTCAAAGGTTTAGGATTTAGGGTTCAGGGTTCATGGCTTCGGGGACTAGAGGTCTATACAAGGGCTATAATACAGGGGATCCATGAGGCCACTGGCCACTGTGGACGCATAGGGGTAACAGGGGGATACATACAAGGGTTATGAAAAGGTGATGCACAGGGGGTTTATATGCAGCTTTTGTAGTTCATGTATGGGAGGTATAGGTGTGGATGGGGTATAGCCGTTTAGGGTTTAGGGTTTAGGAGCTGTGGTGGATGGGTTTGGGTGTTTGGGTTTGAGGGGTCTAGGGGGATTTTGGGTTGTTGCGTGTGGCGTTCAAGGTTTTGTAGTTAAAACAAGGGTCTGTGGATGGAGCAGTTGTTGCCTAGAGAACAGCGACTGTAAACTCACAATACTGCCCTAAACTAATTGTCTTACATGATCCCATAAAGCCATATATAGCCCCTAAATCATCCCAACATATCCCGATAGAAGCCCCTACATAAATGGCTTCAAAAACCATCACATACCCTATAATCTCCAATAGAACCCCTTACAGCTTCTAGATATCCCCATATAATCCCCTACCCTAAGCCCTACACCCAAAACCCAAAACCCAAAACCTAAACCCTAAACCCTAAACCCTATGCTCGCAGGCGGGGCTGGGCTTTCCCAACAGGCCTGTCCCTGAACGAAGTGGCCCGGAGCTCGATGGATTTGCTATCAGTGCCCTGAGTGTTTACACTCCCGAAAACTAACATGGAAACGCAAAAAGGGCCCTTCCTTCTAAAAGGGGTCTATATGAGTTTCCATGTTAGTTTGGGGGAGTGTTTATTGGGTCTTGTTTATAGGGTCTGCAGGGTTTGTAGGGATTTATAGGGTTTCGGGTTTATTGTGTTTGTTATTGGGTCTGTGGAATTTGGAGGGTTTATACGGTTTGTAAGGCGCAGGGTTAGCCCGAAAGGAGGGTTGTTTGTACCCCTGATATAGATCCCGCACAGCCCCCCTTTGAAAGGCCAGTAGCCTACAAAGAGGCCCTCTTCAGGCTTAATCCTTGCCCCAAACCCTAAACCGCGTGGTGGGCCCCAACATTAGGCCGCTTGGACCCTTTGGGGTCTGAACCCAGACCCTACACCGTATGGTGCAGAGTTCGACGAAGACTGAGGCCGCACATGACACCGTGAACCCAGGAGATCCAGCACGCTACCTTCACCCGGCCGGGCAGTGATTGGAGTTGAAGAATTTTTGCAGGGATGAAAGGTTCATGGCGTTTAATAGTTTAGGGATTTTGGGTGTTGGAGTTCAGAGGGCGTTTAGGGGTTTGAGGCTTAGAGGTTTGGGTGTTTAGGGGTTTGCTGGCGTAAGGGTTTGGGGCTTCGGTGTTTACATAGGATTCAAGGATTGGGTGACCATGGTTGTGAGATGGTCATTCCTGAAGAGTATGTGTCCTCGTCAACGGTTTAGGGTTAGGGCTTAGGTTTTCTGAGTCCTGGTTTAAAGATCCCTATAATCAATTACGTACTACTTCGGAGCCTGAAAGGGCGACTACCATTTGGACGAACGCCCAACTACCATCGCAGTGGCGGGGGAACTGCTAGCAGTACTACTATAACAGGAGGAGCTCTGACACTCCATCCCGCAAAGTTGGGACTCTATATGGTTATGATATTATCTAAGAAGGCCATTTACACTGGGTTACCGAAACTTTTTTGGATCAGCCAGAAGGGCCCGCAGAAACAACAGGTTCATCATGCAAGTTACAGCAAGGACATGAAAGGACACTATTAATTGGCAGGGCAATCACTTGTGAATTAGGCGCTCACCTCAGAACCCTACTTACTCAGACGCTCCTATGTAGTTCCCTTCTTGGCTGGTGTACTATCGCCCCTTGGAGAAAAAGTTACAAATCCATGAAGGAACTAGGAGCCTATGGCTAAACCTGAACCAGGTGTTGACGACAGCACAGCTTGTTGTTGTACTTCTGCTGGGCAAAATGCTAGCTACAATTCCTACAATATCCTACAATCTTCATCCCTGATGCTTGGTCCGGTTCCCTACGTCCATGTACCTTTCTAGCATATACCGCAAATGAGCACTTCTTTGAACCCTAAGCGTCTATACCACTACATGGTTTGCCCAAACTAATATGGCAGCCCCAAAAGATCCTGAAATCTTGATAGGGCCCTTTTGGGGGTTCCATTCTTGCTTGGGACCCTAAACTCTAAACCCTGAACCCTAAAACCTCATTAGGTACCTTGGCCCGTTGGTGTTGTCCTGCAGGCAGACATCCTGAAGATTGACTTCGGAGTTCATGTTGTGAGCCCAGTTTCTTGGGGTCTGCACGCCATGTAAGATATATGTTAGGTGGACCCCCCA